AAGTTTCCATTGCATTTTACATAGTCTTAATTCACAAAGGAGATTCGCATTAAGGCTGAAGTGGATTGCAGTTACGACCTCGCCCAAGTCTCATCAGCATCTCCAGCGGGACTCGAGCATAGCCTCTACACGGTAAACACCACCTCACTATCACGAGTGCCCTTGGGTCACAGAGTAAATGTGAATTTCAAGGAAGGCCAGGCATTTCCCCATGTCACATTCTGTAGTGTAATTATGGATTAGGCAAAGTTGTATTTACTATAACAATCGACTATATTACTCATTTTTCGTTTATAGGGAGGTATTCGAGGCTATCAGTAGATGATATATTCAAGATGTATTCATCCTACTTTGTTAAGATGATGAAATTAGATCTAAACACAAGACCTATTCATCTGAGTGTGAAAAAATTCAACGACTAGTCCTTTATCACCTTAATAAAATAGGATGAATACATATCATATATATTAGTTGACTAAGTCCTTATTCAAGCAGTACTGATGGTCTCGAAACATACTTATACCGAAAAGAAGATTGTATCGTATATTCCCGTTCGTCCTTTTGCAAATCAGACTATGTTTGAACTTGTTGGATGTGGCAACGAAGTATACCTTCGTGTTATGATTGTGAAATAAATGATTCGATGCAGATTGGAACCGGGGCTTACATCCGGCTTTAAGCCAATATTTCGGTACTGATCTATCAGAGTCCGGTTAATTAGCTCAAGCTATGAGAGTGCCCTAGTTGTTCAATTTCTTATCCCCTTACTTAACACTACAGTTCAGGTTGTAATGGCGTAATATAGCAATAAATAAAATGTCTCATGTTATTTAAATATTGTCCTCAGTATGGTGTCATAATAAATTTCACGCTTCGCACTCCTTTTAAATAAGAGTTATAGTCTGTAAACCTATAGCGAATACGCTGTGCAATCATGCCATTTGCAAGCTTTTTCCAATTACTGTGTCAGAAGAAATCTCCAACCACAATCCTTCTTGTACTCCAGAATAGATAGAGCCTACAATCATATAATACCGAAGAATCCCTGAGGCCCGCTATTGATGGTACAAAATACTTACTCTCAGTAAACATTACCAAAAGCTTCTAGGGCGAAGATTTAGTGGACATTTTGACTAAACTACCTTTATAAGGGCTGTAGTCACTCTAGGTTGCATAAAGTGATGAAGTTGAACGTTACCGCAATAAAAATGCAAGGCCTCACAATGCTATTAAATTTCATCTGGAATGACTAAGGATATCAATTAAGATCTGGTGATAGTATTGAAACCCAATCATTATGAATACAAGCTACTTTTATGCTTTAGTGAACTGACTTCAGTTTATGCGAAAGCGTAAGGTGAATAGGATCTTAGCTCAATTTAAACAAAGACAAAGCGTTGCATTACCCATATTTTGCTGATTTTCTATTCTTTCATGACATTTATGGTGGCGCGATTCCCAAGGCCAAATATTTCAATTAAGGTGAAAATTTGCTTGGCTTCCGTTTATCAAATCCATTGACTGACATCATCAGAGCTGGATCTCATTCCTATAACAACTCCAAACCGACAACAATTCAAGTGGATCATATATGCATGCTATAGATGGTCCAACAAAAATGAATTAAAAGTAATATTCAGGCCTGGATTTGTGAAGATAAAAATAACAGGTGTTTAAGAACACTGGTAATCGCATGCTGAAAAAGTGTAATGCTATATATACTTTGAAGACTACGGCTTATATTTGGAATTCGATTATCATTTGTCTTCGGAGTTTAGGATAGGGCATCGAGTTCTACAGATAAATCAAGTTATTTTTCTAGTAGCGTAAGCATAAACAAATATTGTTATTGTAAGGATATATTTATGCTTGCAGTAGTTGACGAAGGAAGGTTAGAAACCTAATTTGTCAGGGCCGTATAATTTGTCTGAAAGCACAGCAGCCCAAATTAATATTTGGTGGGACGTAGACCAAAATAATAATCAAGTAAAAAGAAATAATGTATTGCCGAACATGATATCATTAATTCTTAGCAAAGATACGCTTACTAAAAGCCAATCTAACAATAAGTCTATTCATGACGTGAGAAAGCAAATCAATTGGAAATTCACTAGGGTCACCTATGGGTCTTTCCAATATGTCTTTTCCATTTTTTCTCATTGGAAGTTTGCATGAGCGCTGGGCAAGAGTGAGCTCACGAGCTAAACGAAATTCTTGGTGAATATACTGGATTCTCTAAGTAATCTTGTGCTGAATAATATTTTAGCATCAAATGCTGACATCTTGCTAAATTTATATGGACGTAAAAATATGGTCTCTACTAGTTGGCAAATAATAGTTTAAATACAACCAGTCGGTAAATCTTCTTTGTTCATGAATTCGTGCATATCGCTTGCAAAAACATGAGTTTAGACCTCAATAAACGCCTAGCGCTTATGAGCTGTTTTGATGAATTAGGGCCTGATAGGTGGACTGGCCAAAATAATAACAAGAGGAGAAATCATCATGCTACAGAATTTCCTGAAAGGCGTGCACATGCAGGGTTTGCTCTAGTATGGAAAAGTCTGGGCCTTATCAATCCCCCGAAAGATATTAGAAGTTGAGTCTCAGGGCCTCAGATGGACATGACCAAAATGTTTAAAGGCAAGATCGAATGAGAATAAGTCCGATCAATCAAAGTGAATCTATATGCAATCAGAGCTGATGTGCAAATCCTCAGTAGACATTCTCAAAATGTTTCGATAGGTCCTCATTAAGAATGATGGCATATTCACCCAAACGGCATGTCGCAAGTGATTGGAAAAAGTGGCCCAGACTGCTCCAATATGAGTTTTATGGCGCCATAAACTATTTTTAAAACGATATACGGGAATCTTTTTCACTGATGCACTTTAAATGCGTGGCGTCCAGAGCTAACAGGAGGATGCAGTTTTGGGATGGAATAGGTCGTACAAACACTTACCTCTCCGAATCGGCAGACACATCTGTCGACTCAGACAGCCTTGTGCTTGTAGCTGATGTCGAGTAAGTTGACTTTCGCTGAGGTTGTAACCGCTGCTCTATGGAGGACGTCTCTTCACTAGTCACACAAGACAGGGTGGGTCGACGCTGACTGAACTCCGCAGACAAGTGAGGAGAATGTGAGAGAGGCAGAGGTGAGGTTGTAAGAAGAACATCGGAAGGAATAAGAGGGAGAGGAAAACAACTGGTTGACGGCACAGTCTGGTGAAACTGCTGTTCTGGCTGGTGCTGTTGCCTCAAATGTCTTCCCTCTTCGTCTCGCGAGCTTCCATCAGGAGATCTTAACTGCGGCTCACCTAACAAATCGACACTCTGCTGCTTTTGCTCAGCAGGCTGGCCGCATAAAAATGAGGCATCAGCTACTGCGTTAATATCAGGGGCATATTTATTGAGAGTCTGGTCCCAGCTAAGTCCACGAACTTCTTCGTTGCCATCCCTCTCCATATCTTGTCTCTGAAGGCCACTTTTAACATCAGGACGAGCCTCCTGATTCGACGGAGCTCCAGGTCTGGTCGCAGCAGGATTGGCTAGGCAAGAAGGTATCAGCATAGAGTCGTTGTAAAAGTAGACCTCAGTAGAATCCATTGGAGCGGAAGTCAGGGCTCGTTCTCCTTGCGAAAAAGCCTCTTGCTCACTGGTGGTCATCTCGAGTTTTATCTTCTTCTCGCCAATGGGAGATTGAAGAAGAGGAACTTCATTTGACTGTTGAGATGATGAGGATGGTGGCAGTTGCTGTTGCTGCTGATTCAAATGTGACTGTTGATGCGCGACTTCGAAGTTCATGAGCACCTGGCGCAATTGACGTGCCAATTCAACTGTACGAGTAGGAAGAGCTGTATTGGTAGGGGAGTCGTCTTCATCTGGATTGTTCTGCGGAAGTATAAAATAAATAAGTCATGAAATAAAATTTAGGGGGCATAAGACTAAGAAGGAACTCAGCAAATGTGGTTCGAATGGCAAGCACGGTTGTGAAATGTTATTAATAATGTACAGCCAAGCTCCAAGAAAAATTCACCAGGTTCTACGGGACTAGTTCGGTTTTTTGATGCATCCTCTAGTCTCCCACTTTTAGTTTCACATAAGATAGCAAGATAAATGAATCAAAAAAATTTCAAAGACTCCTACCGTTCTCGTACCAAGAAGGCATCAACAGAGTTAACCGCGTTAATTTGTACTCATTATCTGTTATTATGTTCCTTACAATAGATAATTAAGGATTCGACATGACATATGAATAATAAAAATGCTTTGCAACGAGATTATATCTAAGTCAAAAAATTTTAGGCGATCCTTTAACAGTAAAAATGCATGTTGTATATAAATGTATGGTTCAATAAATTAATTTAAAACAATAGTGTAGTGCAAAGAACGTATTATGACGCACAGCAGCTTGGTTAAATTAAATGTAAAGCAGTAAAGTAGCAGTAATGCAATGCTATTTCAAAATTAATATAATGCGATTTGGCATGAAAAATTTTGATTTATC